CTTTTTCCCAAGAAAAACGAAATTTCGGCTTAATTCAGTTATAGCACTAAAAAAATATATATATTCAAATATACACCGAAGAAACGAATCTCTAAATTTAAGAATATCTTCTTTGCGTCTATATATTTAAGAATATTTCCTGTCAATTTTATTCTTAAAGTTAGAATATAATAGTATTTTAATAAATAAAATAAATAAATAAAAATAATAAAATAAAAATAAAATTGAATAAAATTGACGGGAAATATATTATATTTTTAAATATATAGACGCCAAGAAGATATTCTTAAATTTAGAGTTTCTTCTTTATAAGTTTCTACATATATATATATATATATTTTAAAATCAACGAGGTGTAACTTTCTACTTTCTAAAAAAATACTATATAAAAATAATTATTTAATAATTATTATATAGAAAATAATTTTTAACTCCATTAAAAATAAAAGTAATTAATAGTTTACATTGAATGGTATATATATATATATATATATATTATTCGAACAGACTCTGAAGAGATTGTTTCAGTGGGGTGAGATATACGAGAGAAAGTATGTTAAACGAAGCGCAAAGAAATTTTTGTGATGTTTATACAATTGGCCAAAAAAAAGGTTATTATAGTGAGGAGTGAAATTGGCCGAGGTGGCCGGATATATATATAGAGAGAGGGATGAGGGTGATTTTGCGTCAGTCCCCGATGCGGTCGCGTAATGACGTTACGCTAACTTGATCAATCGTCCACTTTAACCCCCTGCCCCACTGTCGAACACAGGATAACAGCTACTCAGAACACGCGACTGACAGCGCATAAATAATGAACCAAACTATAATCCCAAGATTTATCGTCATTTAATAGTCAAAGACAATTTGTCCAATAAGCAGAAAGTTACTTCTAAATAAATATAGAGAAAATTACATTATATATAGTCATAAATATTTTTTTTTAGAAATAAATTATTTTTATTTTTGTGAATAGAAAGTTACTTTTTTAAATAAATTACTTTTTTTTGAAAGTTACTTAAGTGCAGAGATTTACGTTTGTATAAATACTTACTTAATAGATAGTTAAGTAATTTTTACAAAAAGTAACTTTCTATACTTAATATTAATTTTCTATAACACTTAATAAAAATAACTATACCTAAAAGTAATTTTCTATACAAAAGTAACTTTCTACAAAAAAAGTAACTCTATATTTCCGTAATTTTCTACAAACAGTACCTTTCTACTCAAAAGTAACTCTCTATACTTAAGTAACTTTCTACTGAAAAGTAACTCTATATTTAAGTAATTTTCTACACAAAGGTAACTTTCTACAAAAAAGTAACTCTATATTTCCGTAATTTTCTACAAACAGTAACTTTCTACTCAAAAGTAACTCTCTATATTTAAGTAACTTTCTACTCAAAAGTAACTCTCTATATATTTAAGTAACTTTCTACTCAAAAGTAACTCTCTATATTTAAGTAACTTTCTACGAGAAGTAACTCCAAATACATAAGTAACTTTCTACGAAAAGTAACTCCATATACATAAGTAACTTTCTACTTAAAGTTTACTCTATATGGGTATAAAGTTACTTTTTGTAAAAAATACTTATAACTATGGTATATATAGAGTTAATATACTTCTTTGTAGAAAGTTACTTAAGTATAGGAGTTACTTTTTGTAGCAAGTTACTTATTTTGAAAGTTACTTAAATATATACATTACTTTTAAGTAGAAAGTTACTTAAGTATAGGAGTTACTTTATGTAGAAAGTTACTTATTTTGAAAGTTACTTAAATATATACATTACTTTTAAGTAGAAAGTTACTTAATTATAGAAGTTACTTTTTGTAGAAAGTTACTTATTTTGAAAGTTACTTAAATATATATACATTACTTTTAAGTAGAAAGTTACTTCAGTATAGGAGTTACTTTTTGGAGAAAGTTACTTAAATACATACATTACTTTTAAGTAGAAAGTTACTTAAGTGTAGAAATTTACTTAAGTATAGGAGTTACTTTTTGTAGAAAGTTACTTATTTTGAAAGTTACTTAAATATATACATTACTTTTAAGTAGAAAGTTACTTAAGTATAGGAGTTACTTTTTGGAGAAAGTTACTTAAATATATATACATTACTTTTAAGTAGAAAAGTTACTTAAGTGTGGAAATTTACTTAAGTGTAGAATAAGTTATTTAAGTGTAGGGAGTTACTTTTGTGTAGAAAGTTACTTTTGATTAAAAGGTATACCAACTGAATAAAATTCTTAAATAAAAAAAATTCCATCAACAATTCTAGTCACTGCATTATAAAAAATTTCATATGCGAAAAAAAATTGTATTTCTTTTTTTTCAATGATTCATTGACGAATAATAGACACTTGTGATTTTGTAGGATATTTGTATATAATATATATATATATAAAAAGCGCTTTTACAGCAATTGAACGCGATTAGGGTATTTGAGTGTGTCAGGATTAGATCAGCATCTGCTTATGACGGGACTTTATATTCTTGTATAATCTCACATTATGCGAGAGATTCACAGGGGCGTTATGATCGTTTTAGCTTGTCGGTACATAACTGAGAAAACAATGCCCGAAGTGTCACACGTTTAAATCTCTCTCTCTATATATATACGCTTTTTGCACCCTTTTCAAACAAATCAGAAATTATATTGTGAGTTTGAGCAAAAATCAAATATATCTACATATAATCATAATAATAATAATAATGATAACGGACAAAAATTCTCGAAAAATGTTTGCGAAAAAATAAATTTTTTAAATATAATAAAACATTTTTTTATGTAACATATTTTTTTTACTGATATATGTAGAAAGTTACTATTAGGCATATGGAAAGTTACTTTTGTGTTTATAAAAAAATACTTTTAAGTAGCCTGACTACTTTGAAATAGAAAATTATTTTTTCTTAACAAATATATATATAGTTACTGCCAAAAATTACTTTCAAGTAGAAAGTTACTAGCGAGTGGAAATTTACTTAAAAAATTGCTTCCAAGTAGAAAGTTACTGCCAAATATTACTTCCAAGTAATATTTTTTCATTCTACTAAGTAGAAAGTTACTAACAAAAATTATTTCCAAGTAGAAAGTTACTTCCAAAAAAATTACTGCCAAAAATTACTTTTAAGTAGAAATTTACTGCCAAAAACTACTTTCAAGTAGAAAGTTACTTCCAAAAATTACTGCAATGTAGTAAACTACTACCGCGAGTAGAAAGTTACTGAGACAAATTACTTTTAAGTAGAAATTTACTGCCAAAAACTACTTCTAAGTAGAAAGTTACTTCCAAAAAAATTACTGCAATATAAGTAGAAAGTTACTGCCAAAAATTACTTTTAAGTAGAAATTTACTACCTCGTAGAAAGTTACTTATATATACAAAAACTTACTGCCAAGTAGAAAGTTACTACAGAGTAGAAAGTTACTTACAAAAAATTACTGCCAAGCAGAAAGTTACTTACAAAAACTTACTGCCAAGTAGAAAGTTACTACAGAGTAGAAAGTTACTGCCAAAAATTACTTTTAAGTAGAAATTTACTACCTCGTAGAAAGTTACTTATATATACAAAAACTTACTGCCAAGTAGAAAGTTACTACAGAGTAGAAAGTTATACTTACAAAAACTTACTGCCAAATAGAAAAGTTACTACAGAGTAGAAAGTTACTTACAAAAAATTACTGCCAAGCAGAAAGTTACTTACAAAAACTTACTGCCAAGTAGAAAGTTACTACAGAGTAGAAAGTTACTGCCAAAAATTACTTTTAAGTAGAAATTTACTACCTCGTAGAAAGTTACTTATATACAAAAACTTACTGCCAAGTAGAAAGTTATTACAGAGTAGAAAGTTACTTACAAAAACTTACTGCCAAGTAGAAAAGTTACTAAAGAGTAGAAAGTTACTTACAAAAAATTACTGCCAAGCAGAAAGTTACTTACAAAAACTTACTGCCAAGTAGAAAGTTACTACAGAGTAGAAAGTTACTGCCAAAAATTACTTTTAAGTAGAAATTTACTACCTCGTAGAAAGTTACTTATATACAAAAACTTACTGCCAAGTAGAAAGTTATTACAGAGTAGAAAGTTACTTACAAAAACTTACTGCCAAGTAGAAAAGTTACTAAAGAGTAGAAAGTTACTTACAAAAAATTACTGCCATGTAGAAAAGTCACTAAATAGTAGAAAGTTACTTACAAAAAATTACTGCCAAGTAGAAAGTTACTACAGTGTAGAAAGTTACTTTAAAAAAGTTACTTATTTGTAAAAATAAAATTACTTTTAAATTTATATGAAATATATAAGGTGTTTCATAAAAAATAAATTTTTTAATCGTGATGCATTTTTTTATTAAGTACACACTTAAATAATCGTTAAACTCAAGAGGAAGATTGTAAGATCTGCGGGGGTCCATATGTTGCACTTTAACCTATACGGTCGAGTGGATGTAACCCACTGGTATATACTCTCTATATATATATAAAGAATCATATAGTAATCTCAGTGAATGTCTTTATGTATTGTGGCTCTTTTGTCGATTGAGTGCAATGAAAGCCCTTTAAGGGAACACAAGGGGCCCGGATTAGCGAACCATGAATCGAGGACTAGTCCTGCGAACCTAAAGTGTCGTCGTATTTATAATATTAAGGTCTTTGGGCATTTTGGCGCTTCACCACAAAATTTCAAACCCCAATCCTTCATATATAAATAACGATTATGGGCTTATTTAAACACCTGAGAAAATTGTTATTGTTATTATTATTATTACATTTTTATTCAATTTATGTTAAAATAATTCATTTTTTTTTCAAAATTTGTTATTTTTTATTAATTTTTGAGAGTAAGGACAAATAATAATTAATAATAATTAGTCCTGTACTTGTAGTGAATTTTTTTTTTAAATAATATAAATAATATAATAATATAATATTTTAATATTGATTAAAAAAATCAATATTATTAATTTTCTTCTTCTTTCTTATTTGCAGGTGAAAATTTGGTTTCAAAATCATCGGTATAAATGTAAACGACAAGCAAAGGAGAAAGCCATGGCCGAGCAAAACGCACAAAATCAGGTAAGATTATCGTATAAATATATATTATTTTTTTTATTATTAAAAAAAAGGTTTAATTGCGAAGAATAATTTTTTTTTGTTGAAATTATTATAAATAAGAGTTTTGATATCGCTTTTATACCTCTTTTTAATTATTATTTTTTTTTTGATTTTGCATAGATAATTACCATATACATATGTAAAAGCGTGCCATGTCTTGATCTAACAATGATTTATTCACCCAAGTTTTTTTTTTAAAGTATTTACTGTATGAAAATGTAACGTAAGGCATGATTATTCTGATGTATCTACTCGCAGATGTCCTTAAATATATTACCGAGCACGTATATATGCCGACGCTCATTCGCGTGAAAGCGCGTCGAATAAATATATATTTTTTGCATTTACATCAAATTTCATTCATGTATTAAAGAGGCGCAGGTTTTTTAAAATTATCAGCCTTTTTTAATCACATTTCGGAGTTCCCAACCGATACCTCTATATATATAGATATATAAAAACTTATCAGAGGGCCTTATTAGTTTTTCTTCAAATTATTATCCAGTAGAAAGTTACTCCAAAACACTATACTCTCCAATTAAAGTTTTACTTTAAAGTAGAAAATTACTATAATGTAGTAAGTTACTTTTAAAGAAAACGTTATTTATAACGAAAAAAGATATTATACTTATAGAAAAAGATTGTGTTAAGTAGAAAAGTTACTTCAAAGTAGAAAGTTACTGTAAAAAATAAATCTACTTTCTTTCTGCTTCGTTATAATATTCTATACATATGGTAAAGTAATTTTTTCTACTTAAAAGTAACATTTTTTTGTGATAAATAACTTCTTTGTTATGTTACTGTCTTTGAAAGTATAACTTTTTACGTGATATTAATTTTCTACTTCAAAGTAAAACTTTCATTGGAGAGAGTATAGATTTTTTTATTTCGAAGTAACTTTCTACTCAGTAGTATAATTATTTCTATATATACATGAAAGTCATGTTTTTTTATGATAAATAACATTTCTTTGAAATTAACTTTCTACATGATAGTATTTTTCTACTTCAAAAGAATAATAATAAAATTACAATCAAATAAATTAAAACTTTTATTAATTATATATTATTTCAACTTTTGGTGGTAATTTTCTACTTATTGTTAGTTTTCTTTTAAATTATTATCAAGTAGAAAGTTACTCCAAAAAACTATACTCTCCAATTAAAGTTCTACTTTAAAGTAGAAAATTACTATAATGTAGAAAGTTACTTTTAAAGAAAACGTTATTTATAACGAAAAAGAAATATTATACTTATAAGTAGAAAAAGATTGTGTTAAGTAGAAAAGTTACTACAAAGTAGAAAGTTACTGTAAAAAATAAATCTACTTTCTTTCTGCTTCGTTATAATATTCTATACATATGGTAAAGTAATTTTTTCTACTTAAAAGTAACATTTTTTTTGTGATAAATAACTTTTGTCTTTGAAAGTATAACTTTTTACATGATATTAATTTTCTACTTCAAAGTAAAACTTTCATTGGAGAGAGTATAGATTTTTTTATTTCGAAGTAACTTTCTACTCAGTATTATAATTATTTCTATATATACATGAAAGTCATGTTTTTTTTATGATAAATAACTTTTCTTTGAAAGTAACTTTCTACATGATATAGTATTTTTTTTACTTCAAAAGAATAATAATAAAATTACAATCAAATAAATTAACATTTTTATTATTTATATATTATTTCAACTTTTGGTGGTAATTTTCTATACTTATTGTCAGTTTTCTTTTAAATTATTATCAAGTAGAAAGTTACTCCAAAAAATAAAATTAATTAAAGTTTTACTTTATAGTAGAAAATTACTATTGTGTAAAAAGTTACTTTTAAAAAAAAATATATAGAACTGTCCCAAAAAATGTTACTTTTAAGTAGATAGTTACTAGGAAGTAAAAAGTTACTCCAAAAATAAATCTAGCTTACTTTTTTGTTATAACTTTCTACTCGGTAGTATAATTTCCTATTTCTTAGTCATTCTTTTTTATACTTAAACGTATACTTAACATTTTTTTAAAAAAGTTACTTTCTGTTTGGAAGTATAAATTTCTACTTGGTAATAATTTTCTTTTTAAAGTTAATATTATCCTTGAAGAGTAATTTTTTTTTTAATGTAACTTTCTACTTTGTTAGAAAATATTATTATTAACTATTTTCTCAATTTGGTATTAATTTTCTACTTATTGTCAGTTTTCCTTTTAAATTATTATCAAGTAGAAAGTTATTTTTAAAGAAAAAGTTATTTGTCACGAAAAATGTTACTTTTAAGTAGAAAGTTACTACAAAGTAACAAAGTTACTACGAAGTAGAAAGTTACTACAAAGTAACAAAGTTACTACGAAGTAGAAAGTTACTCCAAAGTAACAAAGTTACTACGAAGTAGAAAGTTACTACAAAGTAGAAAGTTACTTCAAAAAATAAAATTTTTTTTTCCAATGAAAGTTTTACTTTAAAGTAGAAAGTTATATTTTTAAAGAAAAAGTTATTTGTCACGGAAAATGTTACTTTTAAGTAGAAAGTTACTACAAAGTAACAAAGTTACCACGAAGTAGAAAGTTACTACAAAGTAACAAAGTTACTACGAAGTAGAAAGTTACTCCAAAGTAACAAAGTTACTACGAAGTAGAAAGTTATAAAAGTTAACAAAGTTACTACGAAGTAGAAAGTTACTCCAAAGTAATAAAGTTACTACGAAGTAGAAAGTTACTCCAAAAAATAAATCTACCCTCCTTCTGCTTCGTTGTAATTTTCTATACTGAGTATAGTAATTTTTTCCACTTAAAAGGAACTTCTTTTTTTATGATAAATAACTTTTCCTTGGAAGTATAACTTATATTTCTACACATGATAATAATTTTCTACTTCAAAGTAAAAAAAAACACATTCATTGGATTATTTTTTGAAGTAACTTTCTACTTATAGAGGGCTTTAGTCAGTTTCTCAAGGAAGGAACACTGATATATATAGGGAAACCTGGTCAGTACCACATTAAGCCTCCATTTCAATTTTCTGCATGAATTCAAAAAAATGGACACTTTAGAAATTTGAATGATGATATCGTATTTGTTATATATATATATAGAAAAATTTATATAGAAAAAATTTTGATAGTATTTTTTTTTTTATTTATTTCTTTAGGCATAATATATACAAGATACATATATACCGTATATATATATATGTATACATGCGCGAATGGAAAAGAATAGTATATACATATAAATATAATTTAAATTGTCTAGTGGAGCAAAACTGTTATTATCGATGTCGATCGACGAGGTAATGGCGTAACAATGAGCTCGACATTGTCGCGGTGCAGGCAATACGTAAACAGCATACACAGCATTAATGGAGCTGAAAGTAATCTGTTACCCTGATCTACGTCCCCTTCGTGCTCGAGCGAGCAGCCGCCCCATAATTTACTCGTTAGCTAAAATCTCCGAGAGTATATCCCTCTGCTGCTTCCATTTTCGGTACTGCGCGCCTTGATTTCAATTCAATCCACCATATCCTTTATTTACTCTCTTCCTTTACGCGCAGCCAATTCTGATCTAAAATCCCTGATATATATATATATATACCCTCGCGTTTATTGACCGGAACTTATCAAAATCCGATTTACTTTTTTTCTTTTCTCTTTCTATTTATTTTATACGTCATATAACCATTCTATATGTTTCGAGTGTCTTCTTTTTTTGTAAACAACAATAGCGAAAAGATTATGTTCTATTTTTGTTTTATTTTTTCAATGTGAATTTTGAAAAAAAAATATATTTGACCGAATTTCCATTTGCCCGACGAATATGTGACACTTCATGAGAAAAGGGACCTTAGCTGAAAAAAAAATTTTTAGGTTATGTTTAGTGATAATTTCAGCTTCATTAAACACACATATTTTTATGTTAAACCAAAATCAGTTTTGATTTTGCATTTAAATATAAAGACTTAAAGTTTATATTAACAATTACTGTAGGTATATTTTTAAATCAAAAAACATAACCTAAAATTTTTTGCCTCTAAGGTCCCTATTTTCTCGTGGAGCGTTAAATATATATATTTATTTAGCAGAAAATTGGCACTTTAACTATATAAAATTTAAAAACCGCGCGTGTATATTTATAAATTCCAAAAGGAAAGTTTAAATTTCCCGCTCAATTATCTAATTTACCGACAGAACATAGATTGGATTTAAGAAATAAATTTGCTACATTATTTATATATTATATACGTTATAAAAATTGTTTTATCTTTAATTTTTATCGGAGATTCAATTTTTCTTTAGCAATATTAAAAATATTTGAAATAATTTTTGTATATATATGTATATATATAGTATATATAGATGAAAGGGCCGGAAATGATTTAACACGCGTGTTGAAGTGCGAATAAAGTGGCGTAACGTGTGACGCGCGCGAACCATCACACTTCTATATGGACCGGAATCATCTCATCTTTATCACTGTCAAGAGTGCACGGCCTCTCCACTTACATATAAATTCTATGTTCGTGCCACCGGCAATTCCCTATAATCATCACACATTATCATCTTTTCTCACCTCCAATATATGTTATCATCCAGATTCATTTATATATATATATATATATATATTATTACATATATCATTATTTAATAATTTATTTTATACAATAGAGGTACATTTTCTTTTATCGCAAATTATATATATATATATATATAAATTTTATGCTATTTTATGTATTATATATTTAATATTATTATTATTTTTACTAATATTACTATTACTATCTTTAATTTTACTATTTTTATTACTATTGTTTTTGCTATATTAATTATGTAGGTTTATAGCCTATACATTAAAACTACTTTGACTCTACGTTTAACATATATACCTTAAAACTACTTTGACCCTACGTTTATCCTTCATTAAGACTACTTTATCCCTGCCTAGAAACTACTTCGATCCTACGTTTAACCTACATAA